AGATTTCTTTTCAAACCGTACCAAGAAAAATTCATTTTCTATGTCTGTAACATGGATCTTCCCATCTCTTTCCCACATGTTTTCCAATCTTTTTTTCATAAAACTTATTGAAAGTTTCTTTCCCAACAACTTTACTATAAGAGATTGTTTCCAAGGCTTCCATGCTTTTTCTTTAAAACCATCCGATAACCTAAAATTTGTTTTGTCATCTTCACGTACTTCAATCATCACTTCTTCCACACCTATGGGCGTCTCTTTAGTAGCTTCGTTTGTTTTGTCCATCTGCATCTCATTAACATCAATAGCCTCATTCTCCTCATCAGATACCCATTCTCCATTATGCCTCATCAAAATTTCCTTGAAACTTGCTTGTCCCTCCATCCACGCTTCATCACGCTGAATAAGAGACTACTCATTTGAGAAGGATCCCTCTTCTTTATACTTCTTCTTGCTTCTTTGCAGATTATCAACTTCCTCCGATCTTAATTCAATAACATCAACATTTTGCATGGCGGCACATATCCCTATAGGAAACCCTAACAGAGAGAAAAAGTTTTTATTTTTTTAACAATATTGTTTTCTAATCATATTCAAAAGTAGTCTTTTAGCTTTTTTATTCATTATAAAAAAGTTCTTTTTATTAAAAGAATTTTTGTAAAAATTTGTTTAACTTAGTTTCTGTTTATAAGAAAAAGAGAAGTTAAATTTTTTTTTTTTCCAAATAGGCACTAATTTAACATGCATCTCCGTGTGTATAATTTTCGGTGGCTGATCTTTTATCTTTTATGTCAAAGAGTTTTTTTTTTTTGAAAAAAAAAATATTTATTCTGAATGTAAAGAACTGAGCGAAGATGTTTGTATCATTTGGCTAATTTTTATAAAAAGGAAACTTAAATTCTTTTTTTTGATAGCCAAAACTTAAATTCTTTTAAGGATTCGTTTTTTTGCAAGATAAGTTATCTACATTGAGTTCAAAACGATATCGTTTTGAAGCAGAAATTAAAATATTTTTATAATTTTAAGTTATTTCAGGGTTATAATAGTTTTTATAATTATAATTTTTTAATATTTCAACACCAAAATAATATCGTTTTGAAAATAAATACGGATAACTTATCTGCAATAAATACATAAATATTTTTCTGTTCTTTTTAATATGCATATAAGCATGCAATAATATAAAGCAGGGGAAAGAAATACAACCACATAACTTCTCTAATGTCAGATTTGTTTTAAACCACGCAGATATCAAGGACGTCACGCTAGTTTCCGAGTCAAAGAAAAATCCACGTCTTAATACTTTGTTAAAAATGTAGCAATAAAAAAAAGGGTTGGGCCACTCCACTAGATAACTTATTTTATCCAACCAAATTAGAAGTATTATTTTACTCTATTTTAAATTGCCAATTAGGGATGGCATAGCTGGTTGATAATGATAGGTCTCTAGTTCGATTTCAAACTTGAGGCTAATGTCAAAGAGCTTTGCACTCTATGTCACAAAACATTGTTACCAGAATAGAAAATCGAATCGGCTGTCCGATTGGGTGAACCGGAAATCGGATCATCAACTTGACCGATTTGGCCATTAATGGATTAGATCCAACCAGTGAATTGGCACCGGTTTGCTTTTTAAACTACTTTTTGAAATATTTTCACAAAATATGCCAAGAGTTTCAAATCGTGTGAAATAATTTTTCTATTATTATGTTGATTATATATTCTTGTACAAAATGGGTACAAATGATTTAATCGATGACCCATAGGGTTGAACTGGAAATCCATTGACTCAATACTTTAATTGAGTTAATGATCTATCCTAGTTTTAATAATACTACCACAAAAAGAATTAGTCTCATTCAAATGGGAATAAAAAAATAATTCAATTAAATTTTTCAAAATTTCTTATTTAATGAAGCGTTTTGTATTTCATTATCTTAAACGAAATATCATCATTTAACATAAAATATTTAAGGGTTTAATGTTTCTCACGTTGTAGAAGATAAATTTAACTCTTACACACATAAAATATGTAGGATTTATATTTTTCTCTCTCTTCTCCTCATATAGATTCACACACTTTTATGTGTATAGGAGATAAATATAAATTTATCTCCTATAATATCAGCAACATTTGGATAAATTATGAAAAATAATAATACCGCGTATGTATATATATTTGTCAAAAAGTCAAGGTTAAAACCAATAATTATAAATTAAAAAAACTTGGAAATTTGAAACCATCTAATCGGATGGATATTTATATTTTAATTATAGCTCAGCTATACATCATTTTGTTTGATTAATTACATGTTTCTTTGGACGTTTGAGAGTGTAAGTGGGTTTGAAAACACAGGTATGTTCCTTTTTTTTTCTTTTCAATATTTGGTTACAGGGAGGATTATTTTTTACAAATTTTTTATTTATAAATTCTTACAAAATATACTATATACTCCCGAAAATACACCATGTTATTACACTATGTACTTTATGGGAGTACAGTATAATTTGTAAAAATTTGTAAACGAATCCTTCCCTTTTGATTATTCTTAAGTAAAAAAAATTTGTTCTTAGAAAACACGCTAAATTAAAAATATAGTTTTTCCGTTAAAATTTAGAATCTCATATTAAGTTTTATTATAAACTTAATAATATTATTTTGAGAAGGATATACTTACAACCAAAAAAGTTTACCACCTTTACAATTAATCTAATCACCGTCGATTTTCGTCAATCTAACGGTAATAATTTATTGGAAATTAGTGGGTCGCATTTATTAATTAATTATTATATCCTAATAAATTCAATAAATTATAACCGCTAGATTGATGAAAATCAACGGAGATCAGGTTGGTTGTAAATATGGTAAACATTTTTCGTGGTAAATATATCCTGCCCCTAACTTTTTATGTTAAAAAATTTAAAATATAAAATACTTCATTTCAAGTTCATTTTTTAATTAAAATTTAAAATGATTTAGAATTAAGTTTATGAACAATGATCCAAACACAATTTAATTGATTTACAAGGAGTGAGGTATATATATATATATATATATATATATATATATATATATATATATTAACATATTGATTTTACATGGATGTTGTGGTATGTTTTATATACGCGGTGGGAGGGTGCGTTGGGTCCGGGAAAGGTTCCATGTCATGCGCAACACCAAGTCAATATCGCCAAGCAATGAAGCACATTAAACGGCCTAAACAAAATGACTAAGTCTTACTGTTTTCGTGTTACATTGAATCTTCCCCAAACGACTTAAACCCTAAAGCACATGTTCAGATATAGCAGATAGTTGACCTTCATCAAATAACACACACTAATTCACAATAATCTTTCAGGCGAACCCATGTTGGACGTTGACCAAATAACAAGACCTGTTTTTGGGGCCGTGAACCTACGTTGGTCAATAATTTACATACAAAATATTTGAATTATAGTGGTTACAAATTCAAAATTTTGGGAATGGATCCTCTCGTGTAAAATAGTGGTCATGTGATTATGTTATTTGATCACAACCACTCATTGACGATGAGATAAGAGAAAGAAAAATGTATAATTTTTAAATAAGTAGTTGTGATCAAATAATCTAACCACATGAACACTTTTTCACACGAGAGGATCAATTTCTCAAAATTTTAGTAAGGTTATATTTGCTTGTGGTGTTTCTTCATTAATACTAGCATGTATTCTCATTTATTGGGTTCAGGGCTTAAGACAGTCCAACCTCCTCATCATTGTAAGAAGACTCTCGAAGAAGATGGATGATTCTTATCTCTTCCATATATACACTTGAAGACTTTTGTAATAGGTTAGAGATTTTGAATAGAAAACCTGAGTGAATATCTCTAAAGAGAAGTTTGAGTGAGATCGCTTTAAGAAAGTTTGAGAATACCATTATTATTGGTGATACTTGATTGACCTCTAGTGAATTTGTAATCTTTCTTTTGACATAGTAAAAGATTTTCTGGACTGGTATTATGTGATTTTTATTTCTTAATAATGAAAAAGGTTTTCTACGTTAAAATTTGACTGTGTTCTCTTCTGTCTTTCTCCTCTTTGCTTTTTTTATTATTTGCTGCGCAAAGCTGATCTGATAACTACACAAGCCGACTTCTGATTGCCTAGCTCTAAGTTTGGAGCAATTATTCAGCGATCTCGACTCACGTGAGCTGTGTAGAAACAAAAAAGAAAAAATAAGAGAGAGGAGAAAAAAGAGAGAGGGAGAAAAAAGAAAGAGAAAAGAACCACAGCATTATTTTCCCTAAGTTTGAAGTGCTGACTTTAAGGGGGTGTTTGGTACGCGGCATTTCGTAGAATTCTTGGGAAACTAAATTTTTTTAAATTTTAATTTTTTGAATATTATCGTAAACTGAATGTAAAAATCATATTTTTGAAATTCGAGATTCCCGGACAAATAAAAATTTCTCCTGTACCAAACGCCCGCGGACTTGTCCCATCAATATTGATGATTATGATTTTAAACAGAACTTTAGTTTATAATCCAAAAAATTCAAGGAATGCATGGAAAACCCTTCTAGTTAGCTTTTGGCGCACTACAATTCAATTACGGGAACGAGGATGTGTATTTTCTTTCTTTCTTTCTTATTTTTGATACAATGGATTTTGTTATTAGTTGCACAGTAACCCGACCTAAGTTAATTATCACGTGACAACAAACATTTACATTGAATCATGGGCTTTGCCGAAGCGGCTTGGGTATTGGCTTACAATCTATGGGCAGAATCAGTCTACATAAATTTTTCCTCTGTTCAAAGGTCATCATTTGATTTGAAATTATATATTAGGTTCATATCACGAGGGATATAATATTTTAATCAAACTTGCGTTTAAGGAGTATTGTATAAATTGAGCACCAAGGTAACGGAGATGCATCAATTAACCAACGTTCGTTCTTGTCCTCTTTTCTACTTCCCTTCCAATAATTGGTCATCAATTCACGTATCGCATTCATCTCATACACTATGGACATTGTAAGTTGTACACTGCTCCTTCTGTTAACGTGCATAGCCATTCATGTTCTTCGCTCATTCCTTGCAAGAAGCACGAAACCAAACTACAAGCTTCCACCAGGACCTTCCCCTCTTCCCATTATTGGAAACCTCCTTGAACTTGGGGAAAAGCCCCACAAGACCATGGCTAAGCTAGCTAAGATTCATGGCCCTGTTATGAGTCTAAAGCTAGGTCAAATAACCACCGTTGTGATCTCCTCAGCAGAAATGGCCAAAGAGGTGCTTCTAACCAATGACCAGTTCTTGTCAAACCGAACCATTCCCCAATCTGTGTCAGTTCTCAACCACCAACACTATAGCCTTGCCTTCATACCCATTTCACCTCTTTGGCGAGAGTTGAGAAAAATATGCAACACTCAATTATTTGCACACAAGACTCTTGATGAAAGCCAACACGTTAGGCTTAATAAAGTGCAACAACTCCTCATGGATATCCATCAAAGCAGCCAAATTGGTGAAGCAGTAGATATTGGAACAGCAGTGTTCAAGACTACCATAAATCTATTATCAAACACCATTTTCTCTGAGGATTTGATTCAGTCTACAGGTAAAGCAGGAGAGTTCAAGGACTTGGTGACGAATATCACAAAACTTGTCGGAACACCAAACTTGGCAGATTATTTTCCCGTGTTAAAGATGGTTGATCCACAGGGCGTAAAAAGAAGACAGGCTAAGAACGTTAGGAAGGTGTTAGACATCTTTGATGGCTTGGTTAAGCAGAGGTTGAAGGTGAGGGAAGAAGGCACAGGTTTAGAAACCCACAAAGACATGTTAGATGCCATGCTCAACATTTCTAAAGAGAACAAGATGATGGACAAAAATATGATTGAACATCTCTCACATGTACTATATATTCCCACTAGCTCTCTCCCTTTTCTTTTCTTTTTTTGTTTTGTTTATAATTTTGAAATTGATAATGATCCTGTTATTTGAACTTATTGTGGATATTTATATATATATAGGATCTATTTGTTGCGGGAACAGATACAACAGCATCTACCTTAGAATGGGCAATGACTGAGCTACTCCGCAACCCAGAGGTAATGTCAAAAGCGAAAAAAGAGCTTGAGAAAATCATTGGCAGAGGTAGAGGTATCCCACTTGAGGAATCAGATGTTTCTAAGCTTCCATACTTACAAGCAATAATAAAAGAGACATTAAGGTTGCACCCACCAGTTCCATTTTTACTACCACGTAAAGCAGAGAGAGATGTGAACATAGGTGGCTACACTATCCCAAAAGATGCACAAGTGCTAGTTAATGTGTGGACTATATGCAGGGATCCTACCTTATGGGAGAACCCAACTTTGTTTTCGCCAGAGAGGTTCATGGGATCAGATATTGATGTCAAAGGACGAAACTTTGAGCTAGCACCGTTTGGTGCTGGACGACGAATATGTCCTGGCTTGCAATTGGCTAATAGAATGTTGCTCTTGATGTTGGGTTCTCTAATCAACTCATTTGATTGGAAGCTTGAAGATGGCTTGAAACCGGAAGACATTGACATGGATGATAAATTTGGTATTACCTTGCAAAAGGCTCAGCCACTTCGAATTGTTCCTATCCAAATCAGCAATTAAAAGTCACTTTCATCTATATATGTTTAAAATGTATGATCAGATGACCCATTTGTCTTTCGGGTTCAAGAATTATTTCATTATTTTTATTTTTTTCTGATCTTTTTTCCTGAATGTAACGAATTGAGTGATAAATAAATGTATTGCTAAAATTCTTTGGATTTATACATAAACACTTATATGATGCTGAAGAAAAGTTATACTGACAGTGACATAGCACTTCCATAGTTTGGTGACTGGCATTTTTTAACCTGCCAGCGAAATCATGCATGGTTTCCTAAAGAGAGAATATTTATATTAAATCTGGTAAATTACATTTGTAGAAGCAATCAATTACACGTTTTAAGTGATATATTCCTCAAAATTTAAGATAATAAAAAATAAAATAATCAACAAAACCAAGTAAAAATTATAATTATGAAAAAAAACATACGAACGTAAATAAAGGGGGTGAATTTTTTTGAAGGAAACTTTGAACTTTTAGTTTGGTGTCAAATTCAATAACAAATAGATCAAAAGTAAATACTCAAATCATTTTTCCTATGATATAGAAACATTATAAATTGGTCCTCATCAAAATGTTTTGAACATCAATGATGTCTATATATATATATATATATATATATATATATATATATATATATATATATATATATATAATGTAAAATAAGCATTAAATCATGGACTTAATTGATGTTCAAAGTTATTAATTATAGCATTAGATTAATGTCCCTTGTATCTTTTAAGATTAATTTAAGTATTTATTCATCATTAGATTAATTTGTTGGGAGTAAAAAGAAAAAGACCTAGCTAGCTAGTTGGTATTTTCCATACGTAATTGCTTTAACATAGAATTAAAGATATGATGTTTAAGAAAGAGGAGGAGGAGGAAAGAGACAAAATTAATATACAAGGAGAGTGTTTGGCTTATGATTTCGTGGCTAATATCAAATCTTCTTCAATTCCGGTTGCCTTTTTCTGATGAGTATATATGAAGAAAGGAATCGTTGCAGCTCAAACCAAGCACATTCAAATTCAATTCAACACGCTTACGCAAAAAAATGACATGACCGGGTCTTACTGTTGTATCGATTCATTCTCAAAATGATATGAATAATCAATCATCTTCAACCCTTAAGCCCACTGTTCACGTTCACGTAGCAGCGAATCTGTTCCAACCCCCTTTTTTCTATTAATATTTTTGCAGTCGCCAACCCCAACATTGAAGTTTTTAGAACGATAGTTGACAAGTAGACCAAGAGCCTGTTTGTTTCACCTTTAACAAAAAGTAGCTTTTATCTCTTCCTTAATTCAGAAGTGTTTTTTAGAAAAGTTAAAACTATTTATATTTTTATAAAAATATTTAATTTTTGAAAAAAATACTTGACTTTTGCTTTTTTTAAAAGTTGAAATTTTTAATTTCTAAAAAAAGTAAGTTTTTGACTTTTTTTGTGACTTTTGCTTTTTTTAAAAGCAACATCCAAACGCACTAAAAATAAAAAATGTTTTTTTTCAAGAAAAAAAACAATTTTAAGAGAAAAAAAAAAAGTTCATCCAAACGAGCCCTCAACAAAGCTGAAGGCCCGTTAGGAGAAGAGACCACTGTAGCAGAGTCGTTAAAAGAGACTAAAGATGCTGAGCTTAATCATGCAGAGCAAGTGGACCTTGTGGAGTACCAGCCCAGTCTAAAAAATAGATGGTCCAAGCGTAATAGGACCCAACCTAAATGGATGAAGAGCTATGTCTGATTGATAGGCAGGGCAGATTAGGGAATTTGCTAACTGTTATGTAGCACCGATACCGACATAGGATATGACACGTCACTTTCGTATGATAATTCTAAAAAATATTAGATTTCAACACGTTAGGACATGTTTTAATATTAAATAATATTTTTAATTTACGTTGCGTATATTATATTTAATATTCAATAATTTAACAAAAAAATAAAGTTAAACTTATAATACTCATTAATTTTGCAAATAAACATAAGATATCATAAATATTTATATTAAATTCAATAAAATTGAAATAGTAATCACGCGAATATAATAGTTAGAACTAAAAACGTAACGCAACACAACCTTTGAACTTTTTTTTGAGTTTCTACAAGGCGCGTTTGGAGTGTCGGACACGACACGTCGAAGTTTTTGAAGTGTCAGTGCTTCATAGGCTGATGACATGTCTACTTTGTTAGAACTTTTTTTTATTATTATTACGTCAGATTGTGAGTGTGTTTATGTTATTGTTAAGTGTGTTTATGTTGTTTTGTTTTGTTCTTTGTATTTTCTGTTATGGTCCTTCTTTGGTGAGAGATATGAGACATGGTTCTATACTATGAATAATATAGAGAAATTTCATAAACATCTTTTGGTGTAAGGAGAACCTCCCCTCAAAGAGAGGACTACTATTTGCTTTTCTTAAATTGCATATTTAATAATTTGGTGCTTTCATTGAGATTTTCTTTCCCGCGCACTCATAGGGCGAACCCCTCCTTCTGATCAATTGGAAATCACCTTGGCAAAGCTTTTGGAGTCACAGCTGAACTTGCAACGCAAGATGCAGACAATGGTTCAAAAAGTTTCCACTCTCGAATCTAAGGTTGCGAACCCACATTCTTCGCAGTCTCCCTCTCATTCAGGTACTTCCAGCTTGACCAGCCCCCATGGCTTTAAAACTATGACGATTAAACTTGACGTTCAGCTTTTGACGACTCTGACCCACTTAGCTGAATTTTCAAGATCACTCAGTTCTTTGAGTTCTATGGAACTCCAGCAGAGCAACGTCCTCAGATAGCATAGTTTCATATGACAAGGAAGGCTTTGAGCTAGTATCAATGGATGCATGCTAAGGGCCAAGCCCTCATTTTTGCAGGCTCTGGAGTTACATTTTGCTCCGTCACAATACGAGATCCAAGAGGAGAATTGTTCAAATTAACCCAAATATCTATAGTGCGCGAATATCAAAAGCAATTTGAGGCTCTTGCTAATCGGACTGTTAGAGTTCCACCTTCGTGCTTCCTGAGTTGTTTCATTTTCAAATTGAAACCAGATATCCGATGTGAAGTTCAAGCTCTCCAACCCTTTTCCTTGGCTCAAGCTATCAAGTTAGCTCGCTTGCAAGAAGATAAGTTCAAGGAGCAGACATCTTTCAACCTGTCAAACCATCTCCAACCCTTCCAATCCCAATCGTCCTATGGTTACAACCCACATTTTCAATTCTTCAACAGGGGTGCTTAATTCTCAACCTGATTCCAAACCCGGCCCTAAACCATCAGTAAAACACTTCCACCAGCTGAATTACATGTCTGGAAGGATAAAGGGTTGTGTTGTAATTGCGATGAAAAATTTCATCTGGGTCATAAATGCAAGAGACAATTCATGTTGTTGATTGCTGCACCGGACAAGAATGACAATGTTCCTCTACAATAGACGATTTAAGGGGAGATGGAGATGGATACTTTGCATCATGAGCTTGAGCCTCCTCAATTGCACAAATCGGACCAAGACCAAATTAGTTTTCACGTCTTAATGGGCCTCAATGTACCTTAGACACTCAGGATTCTTGACCGAATTGACAAGTCCAAATTAACTATTTTAGTGGACAGTGGGAGCACCCACAATTTTGTCCAAGCTAGAATAGCAAAATTTTTAGGCCTTACCATTCAGCCAGCCTAAGGTTTCCAGGTCTTAGTTAGGAATGGAGAGCAGCTGTTTTGCATCGAAATTTGCACTCAAGTTCTGTAGGTGATTGGAGACCAAACTTTTCACATGGATTTGTATTTGTTACCTATCAATAGGGTTTATCTTGTTTTATGAGTGCAGTGGCTGAAAACATTAGGTTTTATCCTTACCGATTATGAGCATTTGACCATGAAGTTCATCACGGATGGCAAAATGTTAACCTTGAAGGGAACCCAATTTTGTTAGGAGAAGAGTAAAACAAAGGATTTTTACTAAGGCAGAAGTCGTAACTTTTACATTCAAACAATAGATTTTTAAATTACAAAACTTGTAACTCTACAATAAAGACACTTAACATCACAATAAACTCACATAATTTCAGAAACTTAAAAACATAAAACTGACATTTAACGTTTGCTGAATTAAACCCATTTAAAACTAAATTGATTGCTGAATTAAACCCATCAAAAATTAAACTGACACATAACTCCACATTTAACGTTTATTCAACAAAACTCCCCCGTAAACTTAAATTCTTCTGCCATCCTTCATGCCGATCAATTTCTTGTAGTTGTCAAGGAGTACCGTCGGTAGCAGTTTCGTGAAGATATCCGCGACTTGCTCTTGACTGGTCACGTGTGTTAGCCCCACATTTCCTTCCTTTACTTGATCCCGGATGAAGTGAAATCGGACGTCAATATGCTTGCTTCTTTCATGATTTACCGGGTTCTTGGCTAGCTCTATAGCCGACTTATTGTCAATTCGAATCACAGTTTGGCCGACTTGTTTTTCCTCCAGCTTGCTTAGCAAATTCCTAAGCCACATTGCATGACAAACACACCAAGATGCAGCTACATATTCAGCTTCACATGTCGACAGTGTCACAATAGGTTGCTTCTTCGAAATCCAAGTGAATGCCGTGTTGCCCATGAAAAACACATAACCAGCCGTGCTCTTTCGATCATCTACGTCTCCACACCAATCACTGTCAGAATATCCAATCAACTTGTATTTTTCCGAGCTCGAGTAGTGTAACCCGTGTGAAACTGTACCTTGAACATACCTCAGAATTCTCTTTACCGCCTTCCAATGTGTGTATCTTGGCTCCTCCATGAACCGACTTACTATGCCGACACTCAACGAGATATCCGGCCTCGTGCATATGAGATAGCGTAGGCTTCCCACCAAACTTCTGTACTTGCTTGCATCAACACGGTCTCCTCCATCAAACTTAGAAAGTTTTGAACCGGGTTCCATTGGTGTTGAAACCGGGTTGCAATCTTCCATCTTGTACTTTTTCAAAATCTTTTTTGCATAAGC